TGATTAATGCTTATTATCGTCTTGGAACGCTAGTGCATACGAAATAAAATTCCGATAGTAATACATGTTTGGAATAATTATTAATTAATAAATTCGATTTGTAAGTATGTCTGTTATTACGGTTTATCATAAAACAATAAATAAAAGTTGTGAAAAAATAAAGTTTAATTACTTAAAGTTATATCCAGTACAAAAATCTTAGAACAAATGCAAAAACTTAAAGATAAGTACACAAAACATTCGTTATAAGTAAATTCCTCATAAATTTACTTGCCCCATTCGAGGAACATTATCAGGGATTGCAAATTTACACCCTGTTGATGCAACAACGTCTTCTACTTGAAAACCATCGCCTAATTCCACTAATGTAAGTCCTTTTTCTTTATCCACTTCAAAGACAGCCTTTCCAAGAAAAGTAATAGATATTAAGATAAAACAAAATCGATAACGAATTTATAAGTAGGTACCTTTTCAGTAATGATCATATCTACACATTTTTCTCCCGTAAGGGGTAGTGTACAATTTTCCACAATTTTTGCGCTGCCATTCTTTGCATTGTGTTCCATGCAAATTATTACTTTAGTCCGTGGCGCTGAAACTAAATCCATTGCACCTCCCATACCCTTAACCAGCTTACCCTTAAAACAGAAAAATTATTCTTCTGCCGATCTTTTCGAGGTGCTCAACTTACAGGAATCATCCAATTTGCCAAATCGCCGTATCTTGAAACTTCCATGGCACCAAGAACCGTTAAATCAACGTGACCCCTAACACACAATAATACAAAACAAATGAAATGTGTAGGTACCTACATATATATTAGAATTATTTTACCCTCTTATCATGGCAAAACTGTCATCGCTACTGAAAAATGAAGCACCTAAAAAACAATAAAAATAACGCGGTCAATAATAATGCATGAAAAAACTGAACCTATCAAGCAAATTCACAAACATAAAGGTCCTTAGGGGATGCCAGAAACAATCCTACGTATTTACAAAAATTTTTGCGATCATTCTTGATTCAATTGATAGAACAAACAGAATAGCTTAAAATCCCAACGCCAAAACACGACACTGTGGTTGTCCGAAGCACTTCTCGGTAACAAGGTTACCTTCTTCAGAGATTGAAGTACACTACACAACTACAGTTTCGTGTTTTGGCGTTGGGGTTTTGAGCTATTCTGTTTGTTCTACAACAACCGCCAAAGTTTTTCCAATCTTCATATTTTGATTCAGTTGATGATTTTGGAGCTTTCTGGTCGTCGTTGATAAACATAAGACTTCTTCTGTGGACAACATATATCGGAGTTTCGGAGTTCTCATTCCTTTGGTTGTTGATCAGACTGAAGAACAGCTCTTCAGTGTATTATAGTCATGAGGAAACGAAACGTTGAGAAAAAGAAGCATTAATCAATGATGCCNTCCTTGGTCGATCAGAGTGTGACTGAAGAATAGTTCTTCAATGTATTATCGACATGAGCAGACGAAACGTTGAGAAAAAGAAGCATTAATCAATGACGTCCAGACAGTCCAGGAAAGGTCAATTACAACCCCATGTGTATTAACTTTTGATTCTTTTTATCTCATTCTCTCTTTCAATCGCAATTTTGAAGTTGTCAATTGTCCCTGCCGGTTTCCACACTTCATATTCCTTGAACCAGCAATTTCTTACCTGGGATAACAGTGACGGTTTCTTTGCCAGCATTTATCAAATCTGGGTCTAATTCTTTTTCTGTAGGGTATTCTCCTAAACCTAGAATTCCGTTTTCGGATTGCATAATTACGTCAACATTTTTTGGTATAAAATTGGAAGCCAACATGGGCATTCCAATTCCCAAATTTACTGTTCAGAATATTAAGGAGAATTATACCATTGAAGTATTTTATCGACTTGAATTTTTATTTTTTATTTTATATTTTACTGTTGAAGGATACTGTACATTCCGTTTTTAAATTCCAGTGCCACCCTTTTTATAATTCGTTCTCTCATCTCCAAAGCAGGGTTCTTTTTAGCCACAGATTCACCGGATTTTTCTTTCTTAATGCAAACTCTCTGGATAATAAAACGAAACTATTATACATCTATACATGTATAATGCAAATTTTTTTAGAGAATGATACGGCAACGTCGCATCTATATATAAGTGCGTTAGGTATTAAGTTGAAGATAATGTCGAGCGATCTTGTTACAATAAAAGAATGTCTTACTTCAATTCTTTTTTGAAATGATGGCCCCAAAACGATTTTATCGACAAAAATACCCGGCAGGTGTATATGGTCGGGATCTATGTCTCCCACATTGACTATTTCTTCGACTTCTGCTATGGTAACCTTTGCTGCCTTTGCCATTGCAGGATTAAAATTTCGCGCAGATTTTCTGGAATGTTACAACATATTTTTCCAAAAATTATTATTTCTTTATATCTTTAGATATGGTACCAATAGGTATGTATATTATGTGCATTGCTATTTTTTATGTCTATACCTATTTCTTGTTAAATTTAGAGAATACCTGAACAAAAGGTTGCCTTGGGTATCAGCTTTCCAAGCCTTTATTAAAGCGAAGTCTCCTGTAATAGATTCCTCTAATATATATGGCTTCCCTTTAAATATCCTATCTTCGCGTGCATTACTCGTAAGTTCAACTTGTCCACCTTTATTGTACTTTATAGGAGCACCTCCTTCATGTATCAAGGTACCGTAAGCCGTTGGCGTGTAAAAAGCTGGAATTCCCGCACCACCACATCTAATTTTTTCTGCTAATGTTCCCTATTTTAACAGCAGTAGAAGGAAATACAACCCCTCTTTATTATATTATAATTGGTATATTTGTTTCAATTACCTGAGGAATTAATTCTACCTCTAATTCGCCCTGTAAGAATTGCCGCTCAAACTCTTTGTTTTCCCCAACATAAGACGATATCATCCTTCTTATCATTCTTCTTTTAAGAAGCAAACCTATTCCAAACGAATCTACCCCCGCATTATTTGACACCACGGTAAGATCTTTAACAGGGTGTTCTTCTAATGCCGCTATCAAGTTTTCGGGAATACCGCATAAGCCAAATCCTATTGTAGGTAAATTTTATCAAACAAACAACATATTTTTTAATTCAATTTAAAACATACCTCCCAGTAAAAGGGTAGATCCGCTTTTGATATCATCTACTGCTTCTTTTGCACTTTTACACACTTTAGTTGATTTACAATTAACTCCTTGGGTTGAATAATTACATGCAACAACCTGGTAAGAACATCAACCGATAAAAGTAAATATTTTTTAGAAAAATTAACGATTTTGCATCTTACCTTCGACACATTTTCAACGTTAACGAAAAAAGTTTTTGAACACGAGCGCAGTAAGTTACTGTTTAAAAATATTTTCACCGTGTACATCGTTGAAATTATAACCTAGCAAATGATTATTTCTCTACTTAATTCTTATTTTTAAATTATAGAATTATGTGGAATACAGATAAACAACAATAACAGGTTTCTGTGGAAATAATAACATAAGGTCACGTTGCATGTTTGTTATTTAGATTATAAATATATGTACATAATAAATATTATCTAGATGTAAATACTGAATACGTATAAACATAGAGGAGCGTCATTAACTCATTAATGTCATGATTACGTCCATGAAAGTATTTATAAGTTTTCTAATTCAGTTGCTACGTTGCCAGAATTATAAAAATTATGTGTTATTTAGTTTCTTACTGTATTATTGCCTGTCGCTCTCACTTTGAATACTTAGTTTTTATTTTATAAACTTTAAAAAAGGTGGAAAGAAGCGTATGCAAGGTACAATTGTACTTACGTATACCATGGTTTTGGATCAGGGATATTATGGACTCTTCAAAAGTGTAGTACACCTCAACGTCATAGTGTACTTCATCATNGATCGAATACTTAAGACCAATATCAAATACACAAGTCTAAACGAAAAATTATTATATCCGATTGAATTATGGGTTAAACTAATTGGAGAAACTTTAATATATTCATTTAAGACGATTTGTTAGACAAGAACAAGACCAATACGAAGACCGAGACTATTATTAACAATACAGTTGGTTTTTGACTTGTTATGACACAGCAAACAATATCCAAATACGTCTGTTTGATTTGTTGCTTGTCATTAGCGTTTATTGATAAGTGATAAGGTATCACAGGTCTACCAAATAAGCAATTAAATTTTTATTTATGACTAATATGTTTGCATGAAAATCTGAAGAGGATATGAGGAGCAAGTCCGAAAAGCATTTTACGTTATTCGTATAAATAGAATTTACCTTCAAGTAATACAGATTTTGTACAAGATTAATATTAAAATTATTTGTTTACGTACACGGAGAAAACTGAATTTTTATGACAACGCAAAAATGACTGAATTTGCAGTTGAAACAGTTCAATTTATTTCATACAATACTGTTATGTCAATATCGCTTCCATTTTATTTAAAGCTATCTATAACTTCTCCTTGCTAGATGCTAAGACTGCTATATCATCTGCAAATCTAAGCATACTAATCTTTTGTCTTAGTATATCTATCACTACAGTTGTATTGTCTTTCTGTTTTTAATGATGTTGATCGCGTCTTGATGTATAGATTAAAAAGTAGCTGTGACAGTGTGCATCCGTATATGACTCCCTTTCTAATATTTACTTCTCTACGTTGCTGCTCCAGCTCTATAACTGCCTGTTGCTCTTAATACAAAATAAATATCACTCTTCTATCTATGTAACTCATCCCTACATTTTTCAGTATATTTAGCACCTTGTCCCATTTAACATTGTCAAAAGCTTTTTCTAAATCTACAAATCCCATATACGCCCTCTTTCCTTTTTTTATCGTTTTCTCTATTGTTACCCGTAAAACTAGAATGGCCTCCACAGTGTACTTTAGGGAAAGAAAGTTAGTGTACTCAGAGGTGTACCTTGGATGTCCTTAGGGAAGAATGAAATTTTAATAAGGGATCATATCTCAAAAAGATTTAGTTAGTAGCACCCATTAAGACTTTTGATTTATACGTCGAGAACTTCCAAAGCTTCAATGACTTTGACAGAGGACCATTTTCCGTAAGGATCTAGCGGGGTCCTTTGTTGAGATGTTAAACTAAAAATTAAACTAAATTTAAAAAAACACCCGTGAGTTTTTAAACATTTGCAAAATTATTTTACCATCATTGAAACGGAAGTAATACGAACTAAACCTAAAAAGTTATGGGATCAAAATAACTCCAAATCCAAATTTTTGAAAAGCTACATTAAAATTGCCTACTAAAATTTCCAATTCCCCGAATTTTCTGTACAAAAAAATAAATATTACGCAGATATGTAGTTACCTAGAAAAGCATAGGGACATAAATCATAAAATAGTGGAGGGTTGGGTAGCTTTCAGTATAAGAAATCAATTCTGTAAATTCAAAACAGATTTATTAAAATTTTATATTTAGAGCACGGTTTTGTATGGGTGCGAAACGTGAATCATGGGTGAGGCGAAAATGAGAAAGCGCTTAAGATGTGTGATAAAAATACTGTATATAAGTAGGTATTAGATAATATTAGAATGCATTGGAAAAAGTAAGAGAATAAACGAACGGAAGAGATAGGATTTTAGGAAACCTGGCACTTAAAGAATTGATTAGAGACAAATTAGAAACAGGAACGGCAGTAAGGAGCGCAAGTAGAAGACTTAGATTAGAAAACTGCAATGATTAACAGTTTTGAATAAAAAAAATGAAGGGGTATATAAACGTCGTTTATTTAAGCTTTATAAATAAATACAAAGTTCCTATATGTAGAACCTAAATATCTTATCAATATAAAAGGCACTTGAAATGTACTCTAAAAGAAAAATAACACAAAATCCTTCGAAAAAAGTCGTTACTTATTATTATTAATTAAATTATACACTACAGTCTTCCTGCTCTGGCATCGGTTATTGCACCCCACAATTCTATAATCAAGTCGTCTGTGAATCCTAACTCTTCCAAATCCGAGTTGTCTATAGCTTCGGCAAATTCCATGGAATTCGTTCGGCCTTCGCCTTTTTCCCAAATTTGGGTCGCCAAATCTGTATCGTTTATGCCCATGAAACTTTCCAGTATTGAATTAATCTTCTCGACACCAGCGTCCATTTGATCATCCTGTAAAAAATCTACAGTCTAAAAGACATCTAGTAATTTATAAGTAAAATTGAAATAAAAAAGCATTTGTAAGGGATAATTTTTACATGACAACTGATCGCTAACTACCCATTCGTTTAAAATATAGTATTTGGTACTTACAACGCAATTAGTATGAAATTTAAAATACATTTTACTTTTCTATTTCAAATTTAAATTCCAATACCTGTACTCTAACAAACTAGGAAATAATAAGGTTTAATTTTAATAAACAATTACTGTAAATAACCATTGTTTAGTGCAGTTACGAGTGCTTTATTATTGACTTTTAAAAGATTTACGAGAACTCAAATATGCGCATGACGAGTATAGCGATATTTAAAAGTAGCACTCGTAAAAGTACTGTAATTTTACATTTCTTATGAATTAGTATGCAATAAAAACCAATGATTACCACTCGACTAATTTCTGCTGTTCCATTTGCTTTAAACCTTAGCGTTTCCTTCCCTGTACCATACGACGATTTCTTCAAACTTCCTTTTGCGCTTTTAGGAGCTATAATGTTAAATCCACTTTTCATGGGTTCTATTAATCTAATGGTGAATGTGGAACCTTTTGGTATCAGTTTTAAATTACGAGCTACCTCGTAATGTCTTTTTCCAATCATACTTTCTCCGTTTAATTTTTCGATGTGATCCCCTACCTTAAGCAAAATAAAAAACAAATTATTTATACTAAAAATATACTGATGAGTGACATTGATCTTTGTTTTGACCTTGCAAAAACACAAGACCAAAACAAAGAGCAAACGAACAAGACCACACATCCTTAACTTTGCGAACACTCCTCTTAAGTCCTACTTCTGTCTTTAATATGTCTCAGACAAGACCTTCATGCCTGAGAAGGTATCCTACCAACCTATCTCGCCTATTTTTTATTGACTTCTATAGAGTCCTCTGTTCTCCTATTCTTTCTAATACCCCTTCATTTCTAACCTTCTCTATCCACGGTATCCTCATCATTCTTCGGTAACACCACATTTCGAACGCTTCTAACCTTTTCTTTTCCGCCGCGCCCACCGTCCATGTTTCGCACTCGTACAGCACCGCGCTTCAAGCATACACCTTAAACAACTTTTTCGAATTTCTAAATTAATCGTTCGCGAGCACAGAAGTGATTTCTTTTTATTGAAGATCACTCGACCCTGCATGGTAACCTTTGCTGCCTTTGCCATTGCAGGATTAAAATTTCGCGCAGATTTTCTGGAATGNCTAGCAAGGAGATCGGGCTGAAACTATAGCTACAAGCTATCCAAGGATGGTACTATAGAATGTCACCTCAAGGTAGGCCTAGTGGCGTCATCTCTTGGTTAGGCCGGAAACTTATCAATCCACCCTCGTATATCCTATACAATAGCAATCGTTTTTCTATCTTAGTTGGTTTAAACAAACTGCAGCTTTTGCATTGTCGGTTACTAAAAAACAACCAATTCAACTTTCTTATTGTGAAACCTTAAAACGGGTGTGAATTGTTTTATCTGCCCAACCCTACACAAGTTGCTGTCGAATTTTGACTTTGCAACATTGTAATGCAACGGCCTTTTGCAATTCAAAAGGAGGTTGCCAAACCTAAGAATATTTCGAATGTCTGGCATGTTATTTGAAAGTTTTCGAGTATGATAAATGTTGGGTAGGTACTATCGAAATTACGTCTGTTTTTTTATAGAATATTATACCTTTCTATAAAGCCGTTGATATGTTATGTTACGTACAAATAAGCAACTGTAAATAATGTCGTTTTTTAAAACAACAAATCATCAACAAACACAATCTGGAGTAAAATAATTTAATTCGAAGTGGTCTGCATTCTGTCGAAACTGCCAGACGCGGATCGCGATTTCGATCTTTTTGGATCTCATCAGCGCGTCGCAGGCAGCTCCGAAATTAATTGTTCATAAGTAAACAGAGTTGATCGTTAAAATTACTTTCTTTGCATACCTACTGCTCTTTTATTATCTATACAGGTGATTAAAAAATAAGATTAATATTTTATTACTAGATAAAACATCAGCATTCAAAACCGTAGATAAACTAAAGTTTTGTTCTGCATCGCTAAGAAATTGTACAAAAAATGTAATTCAAACTTACCCTTTCTGTGAACAAATATAAGGTCTTCTAATCCAATTTGTCCCCCTAGTAGTTTCTTCATATCGATTTTGTAAGTATTTAGAGTACAAAATAATATCTGAAAGAAAATTAAAACTTTCTCGTAAAATGCAACAAAAAAAAGAAATTAGCATCTTCACATCCAACAAATATGAAATGAGTCAATATAGTTCATTTTCTCTGATTCGGTAAACGCTTTATTTTCAGCTGATTGTAAAGATTTTAACCCTTATGTATTACAGTAAAATAAATAATTTATTTTAAATAGAACCTAAAGCTAAACTGGAAGATGTTTATTCATTTCTATTATACAAATTAATAAGCCGTTTATTGTATTAAGTACTTTTATTCGCATTACACATTTCAAAACTGATGAGAAGATTATGGAAGCAAAAAATTAATGAAATTGCCATTGTAAACCCTTGTAATTGTTATAACAACGTTCAGAGATCGCGGTTTGTTTAATGTAAGTACCCACTAGACAGTTTTGCTACCTAATCAGATAGATTTCTCCAAATATTTGAAAATCAGACAATTAATTCATTATCACAATTCTCACTACAAATAAGTATCATTCTGTATAGATTTCGTAGCACACTACCTGATCGAAAAAAAACGACAACAATAACAAGAAGAAACAGAATAATAAAGTTTGGTACTTATAAAAAAAAATTACTTACTAATACTACTGTTTTACATAACGAATAACGACAAAAGATCGGTTATTATAAATTATAAGTCGCTAATTACGGTGTCGCAATTTAAAAAGCTGTACATGGTCGTTGTACTTATATGTATATACTTTCCCTATGTTTCATCACTTATTTAGTAGAGCGTACCCACACATGTCTATATTAACGTAAAGATCGGTTAACACCTATGTAACTTGGAGACAGGTCATTGCGATTTTCTATTCAAGCCAAAGGCATTGCTTTTATTCTGCAAGAGATACCAGAGTTCATAGACCTTGCAGTTTATGTTTGCATTAAACAATGAAAATTATGTCACTTCAGGGAAATTATTTATTCAACACACATCGCAATGAAATAGTCGCAAATGCTTTGTTTCTAATAACTTTGGAATATAATGAGAAATACAAATTTAAAATTTATTCATGACTTTTTAAGGGATTAAAACTCAAAATAGTTTCAAAAATTTGTTGTTTACTATAGACATAATTATTTATTGTTTCGTCACTTTGTAACATCTACCTTTTTGTAAAAAAGTAGAAATTATATGTGTTTAAGCAGTTATTCTGTTTTAGGAATTATTTTTTTTTCAAAAGAAAAACAATTTAAAATACTCTTTTATGACTGATTAAGTAATAAGGTTTAATTTTAATAAACAATTACTGTAAATAACCATTGTTTAGTGCAGTTACGAGTGCTTTATTATTGACTTTTAAAAGATTTACGAGAACTCAAATATGCGCATGACGAGTATAGCGATATTTAAAAGTAGCACTCGTAAAAGTACTGTAATTTTACATTTCTTATGAATTAGTATGCAATAAAAACCAATGATTACCACTCGACTAATTTCTGCTGTTCCATTTGCTTTAAACCTTAGCGTTTCCTTCCCTGTACCATACGACGATTTCTTCAAACTTCCTTNTAGACCATTATTATATATATTAACATACAATAGTAATGTGATATTACTTTCAGATAATCTAAAATGTTAATTTTTACGTTGTCAGTAGCAAATTAAATAATTAAGAGACCACCTACGCCTACCGCAAGGGGTTGTTATTTGTTATATACTCATATCATAAGATCATCCGCGATTGGCACTTAAGGTTTTTTTGAGGACTACCAAACCTTTCCAGCCTAATTTACCTTAGTAATTAATAAAAACCCATCAAATCAGCCTTCACAGTCGCCATTTGGTTGTTGAACCTTTTGTAATTAATTATCACTTACAATTAAAGTTATTTTCAAATTGTATTTACTCTACTACTTGAAAAGTGTCCTACTTATTTTATCCAAGGAGAAAAAGTCCGATTACGTAATAAGAAGAATTAATAGAACGGAGATAAGGAAATTAAGACTTGAGAATTGACAATATAATTTTAACCTTCAAATAAACTTCCAAAAGTACCACTAGTTCGAGGTTAAATCACAACAAAAGCAGCAAGCAAACTATAATTAAGAACAATGTAAAAGGAACTACAGAAGGCATTAAAATCGACAGGTATTTTGTCTAAAAGATAATACAACTCTTTACAAGTAACATCAGAAATGAAATTTAATTCCTGAGGATGAACCTATTATTTAAGAAAATTGAATAGGTTATTGATTAAATTTAGTAGAAAATATTGTAGAGAACTTTAGACTATCAATTGTAAGTAAAAGAAGGCCCAAGTTCAACTTCGTGACAGAACTACAAAACTTTTAGTCACGATCAGGAAAAAGTCACGTTTGTTCTAGTTACCTTTTAAATTTGAAAGAACGGGATGCTACTTTAACTATTATTCTATAAACCGATTTAAAGTCAAAACATCTAACGTTCACGTTAACTTATTATTCATCTAGCATACGCTTTTCTTATTTGTTCTTAAAAATACACTACAATAATCGGAGACAAGAAGCTAGAAGTTATTGTAAATTTAAAAATTAGAATGTCCCACAACTGCACATGCAAAAGATGATATAAAGTTTAGCTTTTCGAAAGCTTTTCTTTTATTTGAATTGAAAATTATTAGAAAAAAGTATGATAGACAAGCAGAAATTTTCTTCAACTCGAACTTTTTTATTAACTCAGCAAGAAGGAAAATGAAGTGTTTTAAATTTATCTCGAAATAGGTATATGGTCATAGATCAAAAATGGTGAACTAAATCGGATGAATTAATCAGAAGTTATTGCAAAACAACCTCCTCTGCTGCCATTATTTATTGCTGTTAATAATTCGATAACAAAACAATTGTAATACGTCTAAATGGGAGAGAGAGGTTGTGCGAAAGTATAACCATTTCGGAGGTTGTCTACAATAAATATCTTTTTTATCAAGGCTTTTATTTTCCACAGTTTTGCTGTATATTTTATCTAAAACAATACTTTTCGAGATAAATTTAAAAAGCTTCCTTTCTCCTTTGTTCATTAAAAAAGTATATACTAGGCTATTTGCACCTGACAACAAAATCTATTAGAAATGTGATTTTTTTTACTATCAATATATAAAACTTTTTAGTTGCACCATATCAAAAAGTTACAGTTTCTTATGACAAGGCATCATCCTATACATAATGGTGCATGTTATACAGCAGAAAAAAATATTGAAATGGAAACATATTCAACGAAAACTGTTGTTATTAGGGATATCATATCCTACTATCTATTATTTAAAGTAAAAATTACATTATAGATGAAATATTGTTTACTTATTAGTAAAACTATTCGATTATTATTTATTAAGTAATACGACAGAAGTTTGTAGATTGTTCTTAAATATAAATACTTATTGAGGATACCATCATGTCTCCAATCAGGAATCAGTTGATATTTTCGATGGATTCTATGAAGATAGTTACTGCTGGAGTATTTTCTGTTTACAGTACGTACAACATCCTGTATGTCAAGCAACCGTGTTTCCGTTTTTTGCTACTGATTCTTGTAATGACGACAAACAATTTGCATGCTTAAATAATAAAAAGTAAATCGGTAGTACAAAAGATAACTACGCATTATTGAAAAGAAAAAACATTGTAGTAAATGTGTAAAACGCAAAAAGACAGAAATTTTGAAAACGAAAGTGGGCTCATACGGATATAACACAATTTACATGTTAATCAAAGTTTATCTGTTCGACTTTAAAAACAAAAAGAATACAATTTCAGTAAAATCGCCGAAAGGGGAAGATATTCTTATCCTTGTAATACCTATTTCAATCCTTAAGATTAAAAATGAAAATAAAACCACAAAAGAATATTTTCAGTATATTTTATATGAAAATTTAGTGATTTTCACCTACATTTGGTCAAACAACACTGATAACACAATACACAAGTGTTTTTTCATTCAAATTTCTGAAACTTATTTTTATCAAAATAAATATGGCCTATATTACTCCAGGATATTACAGGTGTCTTTCAATCGAAGAATTTTTAAAATCGGTTTAGTCATTCCAAAGATTACCCATTATTCCCTACATACAAGTCAACAAATTAACAAATTTACCTCTTTATAATATCAGTGTAGGTAGATTAGTTTAGTAAGTACTATTTATACAAAAAACAACTTCTAATTATAAGTTTAAAAATGAGGCAATTAAATTTGCAATTTCTACAATGAAATCGATAGATTAACGTTTACCGTAATTACCTAATAACAACTGTTTTCTTTATTTAACCAGTCAAGGCTTAAACGTTTCGTATTTTCTGATGGATAACGGTTCAAGCATTAAAAAGTCCATAAGGTCGAATTGTTTTATTTATATGTTGATATTTATTATGGTGGTACAACCCGCTTGCCATATGCGCAGATAGTAACTTATTACTATGACATACTACTAGCTGCCTTCCTTCCTTTGCACTAAACTCAATTAAACATAAAATTCCATCTACACATGCACCGTTTTCAACCTTGATAAACAAGAAGTATGAACACTTTCGTATAAATAGCGGAAAGAGAACAGGTTTGAACTTCTATCTATCTATCTATCTGTCCGTCTGTCTTACATGATATAGGTGCTTGCATGAAAGCTTACATAGATAGATTAGTAGGTACGTGTTACAGTCTAATCTGCATTGAAATAATTTTTAAGTTCTTAAACAAAGAAACTAATACCTCATTTAGTTGTTCTAGTATAATAGCCTTTTTGCAAAACATTTCATTTGTGCCTAGAAGAATTAATATAGAGGCGTATCAGATCAAATGAGCAAAACGAAGACTTAGTATACACCAAGACAGTCTTGGTTTTGGTTTTGCTTATCTTGGTTATTTTGAAACAAAATTTTCTCAGAATTCTACAATAACATGCAATGAAGTATCTTATAATGTCGATTTGGTTGAACCTTTGTAAACATTTGTTAAAAACCTTGTCAATATAACAAAAATTCTTGGTATTTAATTAAAATTAACGTAGGGACGCGTACGTTTTGAAATAGTGTTGCAATATAAAGCAACTACATCAAGTACCGACGAATACGCTCAAAGGTATTGTAAAAAGTACCATATCTGCGATTTAAAAAATTTGTAGATACCTAAATTATAAACAAAGCGAATCGGTTTTTATTAATTTTACTTTATCAATATTATCTACTACCTACACCATTGTTTAATTAATATACGTACCTACGTTATGTAACGGACATAGTTAAAGTCTTACCTAATCTTTAAGCAAGAACAGGTAATGAGGTTTTTAAAGCAATCGGTTAAAAAATTACTTTGGGGTCCGATTTAGTAAGCCACTTTTTGGTTTATAGTTACCACGTGTTACACAACACCATGCAATTCCTTGATTAACCAAGTGTAACATATAACTTTGAGCGACCTGTAGGTACATGTGTAATTAGAAAATGGCTTAATAAAGTATACATGTAATAATGTTGGATATTTCGACTTGATAGATGTGATTTAATGTCTTTTCAAAGCATCTATACAATAATAAAACCTTCGATGTCAAAGATAATAACATTCTTACACTTGCTGAATTTCTTAAGTCTAGTAAGTTCAATTATTCGATGTGTTTCGTGCCTCAAAGGGAACGAAATTCCCTATAAAGTCACTTATGGTATGTGTTCGTCTCACTGACAAAAAAAATTTAGTTTTGCACAAAAAATAGTAAATAAAATTTTTTTTTTGGTTGTCATTTTTCAATTTTTAATATTTAGCGTCTACAGTAGAATCCGCTTATAATGACATCAAAGGGAAATGACAAACATGTCATACTAAGCGGGCGTCATACCACGCATAGGCTTAGAAAATAAGCAACTTTCTATTTTGGTTAGTTATTTAGTTTAATAGGGAGAAAACTACAAATTGTATATAGTTTTTACCACAAAAAGGAAAAATATCGATGAATTGTAATATCAATATGCATAAGAGTCAGAAAAATGAGCGAAACGGTTGTTATTAATCATTTCGGTCGCTATAGCCGGATATAATTTCTTTAGAATCAGTCATAATAAACGATATGTCATTTTAAACGAAGTCATTATATCCAAACGTTCCTATATAGAATTTAATATGAAAACCAAACTTAACGCTATAATTATTTCATATTAAGCGGTTGGCTAATATAGGCGGAGTCATAATAAACGCATTCCACTATATTTTGTATCACTACTACTGAAATTCCTTAACAAATTGAAGTTACCATTACCCGCGCAGTCCTACCTATCGTCTACCACTGTATTAACGAACCAAAACACGTTATTCTACGGTTCAATGAAGATTTAAAACAAAAATTGTGGACTAGATGTATGTAAATATTGCAGGCAACAACCTCATTTGGTCAACTACCTTATAAAAAAGAATAAAACGCGTGCAACGCTCCTAAACAAATGATTTACAAAAGGCAAAAATCAGAGTACTTTGGTAACTAACTGTATTTGTGTTTAATGCCACCATACGCGTAACAATAGATAAATTACTAATTACATATTTTAATCAATTAGAATTTGCGTCAACTACTTTATTTATCGAGTACCTGTTCGAAATATTAATGCAGTCTAATACTGATTTATCTAGTTATCGTCATAACGTTTGTTAAAGTGATTTGTAACACTTGTAATACAGCGGTAAAAGCTGTAAATGCTACTTTAAACAGTTATTTATGTCCTGATTAAACGGATACCTCTAATTCAGAACAATTAACCAGAATTTAACAACATTGTCGGTAATGTCTAGAAATAACTCATTTTTGTTTTTCAGTTTTGTGCAAATTTATTGTTAGGTAACACCGCAAATTAAGAAAATTCAAATTGTTTTGACTGTGGAAAATGCTAAATGTTAGGCACAGAGACGTGATTTATTTGAAATAGTTGCATTTAAAATGCAAATACAAAATAAAAAATACCTTTTTGTTTCTCTTGCATTTAAATACTCTTTTGAGAAAAGCGTTTTGTATTTTATTTAAAAACGTATTTTCTATTTGTAAAATGCAGTATCACCGATGAAACATTATATAGAATGATGAATAAAAGTTGTTCACATTGGCTATTGAAGGAATTAGAAGCTTAAAAAGGGAGCAAAGAGACATTCCATCAATGGCTTCTAATTGTTTAACTGACGAGAGACGAAGAAATTCTACATTTCTCGGAAATGGATCATCTAAAATATTGAAGCAATATTGTTTTCCGGGTCCATGAAAATTGATATTAGCAAGGAACTAACGAAATTCTATGAATTATGACAAAACAGCCTGCAAAACAATATCGAATTGATATACCCCAGTTATTTAAAACTGAAAACTACAAGATATTGTGGTGTTTTAATAAATGCCTATAATCCAAAATTCATAGAAAACGATTCGAAAAACTTCACTTATTATATGAATCCAAAGCTAAGGAAACTATGGATTCAATTTTTTTCTCTTATTACAATGTGTAAAAAATCGGAAACAAAATGGGGTTGTAAATATTTTGATGATGATGTTGATTTTATGCATTTTAGGTTGACTCTGATCTTTTACGGTAAACAAACCATTTTGGCATCGGTGTCTCTTCTTTTTTTAATTAAAACAGGTGACAAAGGTAACTAATGAAGCATATAGAAGAATTATTTGCTATTGAACTGAAGAAAATATAGCATAAAGATAGAAAAACCATTTCTCAATCACTTCAAATCAATGCAAACACCACTACCAGTCTAGAAAAATTCCAATATTTAACAAATGAGAAAATGCTTGCAAGGTTTTTTTAAAAATCAATTTATACTTAACTGAATATAGAACTGAATGTAGAAAATTATGTAGGTACTACAAAAAAGTATTTACTTGAAAAACTTTTAAAAATACGTATTTTGTATTTAGGATTTAAAATACAAAAGGGAAATCTATTTTGTATTTTACATTTGAAATTACAAATCAAAAAGGTATTTGCATTTTCTATTTAAATACTTTTAAAAAACCATTTCACCCATCTCTAGTTACGCATCAAGGAATGAAAGTACGGATTTTCCTCACGGGTGCGAATTGCCACCCGGGCCGAAGGGTAAGGCGGCTCAAACTTCCGGAAGAGCGTGCCGTGCTTGTTGCCCGTATACAATTTTTCACTATACTGTGTGGTTTTCACGCAAAGGATATTAAAACAGGAATGTTTAAATTTTTAGACGCAAATTAATATCAGAAATACACGTCGAGATTGCCTATGACGCGCTGATGAGATCTAATAAGATAGTTCAACGTTTTTATTAACTAGTTTACGTTCTTAACGTGTAGGAAAACGAATAACTGATTAGTCATTTTCTCAAGGTTTAGGTAGGTACAATACATGTTGCTTTACAATAAATCTATAACAACTTTTCAAAAATGAGCGCATTTGTTGATTTATATTGAAAACTTTCTACACAATGTCATGTCAATGCCATTAATAAAAAAATTAACCGGTAGGTACGTACGTCAATTGAGACTGCGTAATCGTTCTAAAAATTGATTATAAATACTAGGAAACGACAGGAATTTTGAACGATTATAAAATGCTTCCTCTGCGTAGAACTCGATTATATCATAAACTCCCATTTTATTCCTGTAGAGATAGTATTTGAAAATTCATCTTGTAGTGAATGACACCGTTGTATAAGAAACCTTTCTGCTAAATTTCAAGAATCTTGGCTTACAATTAGCAGTTTGGGCTCTGCCTTGATCGATACATTAAAGTTTAAACCCCTTTTTAAACTTTTAGGGGTCAGCTAGCTACGTCCCAAGGGTTTTAGCTGTGAATTAGTATTTTATCTATTTTGCTATGATTTCTTCAAATTTTATCTAAAATCTTACATGCCCCCGTAGATCTACCAATGTCTAAATTATTACTAGCAATATGAAAACTGTAAGTAACTTATAAATAATTACACAATTTTACTTTTACCTAAATATTAATTAATCTAATCGTAAAATTTAATCAAATGGTGGCATACATACTTATAATAAGTTAGTGATATACGTAAAATGTTAAACTACTTTATAACACCTACGACGTTTCGTTTGCTTTCTACGTATATTTATGTATGTACATACTTCAAGAGTCTAACTAACAATTTATGAATTTGTGATGGTATTGTTACACCAGAAAATACCGCTGATGCATGTAAATTTATCGTCATACGTATAATTTTCCAAATCCACCTACAATCATGTTGTTATCGCTTGATAATAATTGTTTTATCATTTGATTATAGATTACAGGAACAACAAACTTTGACAAATGCCATTAAAACACTTTACATAGATACCATAAAATATACAAAGTGAATCTATAAATTCATTTATTGTAAAAAAGAATTATTACAAAAATGTCAGTAAAGAGTTATTATTGAGAAAAAATGAACTTATGAAGATTGTAATGGATATACTGTCTGAAATTATATTTAGGATACCTGTTTCAGTTTCATTATGCTATTTATTTATAAACACTCTCCTTAGGACGTAGCTACAGGTGGCATCAGGTAGACCAGTGCTCAAACATAAAAAGTTTTGGTCTATTTGTTAGCCCACCTTAATTACTTGTGGTTATACATTGCACACTTTGTATTAGGTTTCCTTTATTTTTAAAAAAATGGAAGCGGTATTGACAAAACAGTATTGTATGAAAATAAACAAAAATACTGGTATGCAATAGAAGAAAAAGTAGAGAAAGAGCGAATGTAAAAATAGGAGACGAAAGATTAGAAGAAGTGACTGATTTAAGTTTCTAGGAAGTCAGATAAGTCAGGACGGAAAGAGTAGTAGGGATATAAAGCAGAGGATAGCGATAAAAAGAAGTCACGTCTGTGCTCGCGAATGATTAATTTAGAAATTTGAAAAAGATTGTTAAAGGTGTATGTTTGGAGCGTGGCGTTGTACGGCTGCGAAACATGGACGGTGGGTGCCGCGGAAAAGCAAAGTTTAGAAGCGTTCGAAATGTGGTATAACCGGAGAATGATGAGGACTCCGTGGATAGAGAAGGTTGGAAAAGAAGAGGTGTTAGAAAAAATAGGATAACAGAGGACTCTATGAAAGTCAATAAAAAGTGGGCAGATAGGTTGGTAGGACACCTTCTCAAACATGAAGTTCTAGTCGGAGACGTATTAGAGACAGAAACAGGCGTTAAGAGGAGTAGAGGTAGACCTAGATTATGTGGATTACTGTTCTCAAACAGTAAAGGATGTGGGATGTTCTAGTTTTAGGGAGATGCGAAGATTAGTTCTGGATAGGAAGGAGTGGTCTTAGGACTGACGACCTTATGATAGTACATGCATTGTCATTTTTACGGATATCAAAAGTTATCTTGGATTGCATGGATCTTAAAATCTAAAACGACCTGGTCCACCGTTGGAGGAAAGAAAAGAAAAACAGACAGCGTTCCATTTAAAACTTTATGAACCATCATTCGTTGTTCTGAATATACTTAAAACAAATTTTAGTACTAGAAAAAAGGTCAATATTCCTTTCTTAAAGTACGTATATATATATAAGTTTTGCGTAATAATAATATCGAGTCATACCTCGGAGACGGGAAATTCAAAATGTTCTGCTATCTTTTGATAAAGCTCTCGCACATTGGAGAATCCTGAAATGAGTCCCGTAGGACTTCCGTGGGCCAGCTGGCAATGAAAGACTAACTGAGGTCTACCGATCGTGGACTGGTCTTGATTGTTGGTATCCGTAGTACCATTGTTTTCGTAAGGATCGCTGTTTTGAAGTCCATTAGGTGATTTTTGTTCCTGCTTTTGGCGATTTTTTTTGAACATGCTGTCACGAAATACGTCACTATTTGCACAATATCTAATTAAACTAAATCTACCTATTAAGTTAAGTTCAAATAGAAAACTTTCGTTTGTTACGTCGTACAAGATAAAATTCTTATCGCATATTTGCCACTGATAATACAGATTAATTAGTAACGGATACGGGAACAGTTTTAAGTAACTTCTCGCGCACCTGTTCGTTTAGCCATTCGACAGGTAACTGAATTAACTTACATTAGCAATAACGTTGTTGGAAGGTCGGTCGGCATAACCGAACACCGACGCAAGTTTATTCGTCCTCCAAGTACGTTTTTTATTGCATATTTCCGTCCTAGAATCAGATAAATCGCGTTTGATAACAGTAACCATGCTCGACTTCAATGGCCTTATCATTCACTTAACTTAGGCAACTCATTTAACGAAAATTTGTCGTTCGACACCGAATAATTACCTCTAAACAAATACTCTTTATCAAAGTATATAAGCTCATTATTGAAATGCCAGTTGCGAACTTATTAGCACTCATCAGCACGCCATTAGGTACTTAAATTGTCCACCACAGCAAAGATGCTAATTAAAAAGTTTGCCGCATCTTACCCGTTGTTGTCAGCATGTCAAAATAACTTCCTTTATGTTTAACATTGTTCTTCTACCCTTATAAATTTGATAAAAGAATGATTTAGACATATCTCGTAAAATGAAACAAATAGCAAGTTTTACGTTTTAATAACACTTATATAGAATTGGATGTATTACATTTTCATTTTGAACACTAGATAATTTTAAATTCTTCCGCGATACAGAGAGGAAGCACATAATGAACATTTTATCTAAATTATAATTTGAGTAGTTTTGTATCCTTTGATATTTCAAATTGTTAACAAGAAATCTTGTTTTTTTTATGTATATTTTTCTAACTCCTTAAATTATACTGTACAGTTTTGTGGCATAAGTTAGTTTTAAGTTTAAACCAGCATTTTAACAAGTTTTGGTGGTTCTCAAACGTTACCAGAGGACCCTTTACACCCCAGACACTATTAATATATGTATATGTGTAATAAGTGGCTGCAACTACCACTTTAATTAGTGTTTATGGCCAAAATCGCAACAGCTAGAGTTAACTGAAAACGAAAGAATTCGGAAGTTCGGAAGATCTTTTAGATAAAGGCTTATTATAGTGGGAGATGCTCTGCAGTTATAAAATTGGAAGAATTTTCTGGTTACTTTGTAAATGAATGGCTGGAAATGTTCCTATAGATAAAAAGTATGTAGAAACACAATGGTGAATTGTATCCAACCAAATAACACGATAGGAGATGGAATCACAAATGTGTGAAAGATGAAGTTTCATATTGTGATTTATTAATAAAAACAAAGTTTTTAATTAAAAGTGTTTCCACAAATCAACAATTTAAAAAAATGTCTACAAACTTTTGCACATATTCAGCATGTATACGAGTGTAAAAGTGAGACAAGATTGTAAATACATAATCGGGGGTAAGATTTCCCACTTCAATTTCATATAACATATATATTCATGTCCGGGGGTAAAATGTCTCAGAGGGTTAAACACTTGTACCAATAACTCTTTTAATACCAATCGTAAATTACAATTTAACGGTACATTTACTCTTATTTTCAATTAACTATTACCCCCGATTTCATCGGCATGGATCACTTTTAGTGGATAAAAAATGAGAATGAATTTTCAAATTAATATTTAATGATAACCACTACGAATTTCAATGTGTTACAAGAAAATACAACTGTTGTAATTTGTAAAAATTTTCGAAAGTAGTTCAGATTCACAGGCCTGACATCCATCATGTTTGTAAAGCCCCATCGCAATTGGTTCAGTCGTTTCGAAGATTAACCCATGTAGACAGAGAGAGACAAAATTTTTTAAGAGCCATTTGTGCCGTAATAACAAACAAAAAACCGTGAGAGTTTAAAAATGGCAGCTCTTTAAATATTGTAGACAGACAGTTCAATTTTATCTATAACACACATATTTTCGGATCAATTCACTATACAATTGTTGCTCCGATCATTGCTCGCAAATTGGAAACCAGTTTTATCCGTGATAAATAGCGTTTTGGAAGAAGAGAAATGTCTTCCTAGTTGAGAACACACTGTGATGTAATTCCCGTCCCTATACCTACTAACTTTCATACCCACTTAAATTCTTACTCCTATCACATTTCCTTTGAGAAATGTAATTTCTACCTAAACGTTAACTGGGATTTATCTTTGAATGGTTATTAATCATTTTTTAATATATAGTTTCAGCACTCAAAGCATAGTACTGCTTAGCATCTCCCAATAATTTCATGAGAGCTTTCTTGTGCTTAAATGATTTTATATATTTTAGCAAAATTAATTACCTAACAGTAGCTACTTGACCCTAAAACCGTTGACACCAAAACATTATACGCATACTGCCGAAATTTTTNGAACCAAAGAACTACTTCATTTTAAAAATATATTTCTAAGGAAATGTTAAGTTTCAAAAGATGAATCGTTAGTGCGTCTTACCGCCATCAACATGTAATACGATTCCCTGATGGCTCCAAAGCATCCCAAAAAGGCAATAATAAATATGATTGCTCCGACTACAATCAAAACAACTGGTGGCGCCAATATTCGATTTTCCATAAAATGACTAAACTCCCCCACATCCGCAAGGACAACTGCTCCTGCTACTATAATACCAATTCCGGATATCTAACGACGAAAGAGAAGGATCATTATGAAATCTCTCAAATACCAATACGTAATAAACTTCAATTAAGATTTTATTATGGATATAAACTCACCGCGAAAATGAGATTGAAGAAGAATAAAAGATATTTGATAAAACTCATGCCACAGGTCTCCATGATGCCCGTTAATAGGATTATTTTACGCACGCACGCAATCTTTCAACTAACTCAGTATTCAAAGCTAAGTTAGTACCTTCCATCTTCCAGTAATGTCACGAGCGCTCTTTTACGTTCAGGTTATTTTATATATTTTAGTAAAAATAATGCCAAAAGTTACTTACATGACACCGCACACGAAAACCATTGGTACCATGAAATTCTACGTACCTTTTTACATTATCATCAGTATTCAAAGCTAAGTTAGTACCTTCCATCTTCCAGTAATGTCACGAGCGCTCTTTTACGTTCAGGTTATTTTATATATTTTAGTAAAAATAATGCCAAAAGTTACTTACATGACACCGCACACGAAAACCATTGGTACCATGAAATTCTACGTACCTTTTTACATTATCATCAGTATTCAAAGCTAAGTTAGTACCTTCCATCTTCCAGTAATTTCACGAGCGCTCTTTTATGTTTAAGTTATTTTATATATGTTAGTAAAAATAATGCCAAAAGTTACTTACATGACACCGCACACGAAAACCTTTGGTACCATGAAATTCTATGTACCTTTTTACTTTATCATCAGTATTCAAAGCTAAGTTAGTACCTTCCATCTTCCAGTAATTTCACGAGCGCTCTTTTATGTTTAAGTTATTTTATAAAGTTCAGTAGAAATAATACCAAAAGTTACCTACATGACACCGCACTGTAAAACTGTTGGCACTATGAGATTCNAGGTAACTGAATTAACTTACATTAGCAATAACGTTGTTGGAAGGTCGGTCGGCATAACCGAACAGCGACGCAAGTTTATTCGTCCTCCAAGTACGTTTTTTATTGCATATTTCCGTCCTAGAATCAGATAAATCGCGTTTGATAACAGTAACCATGCTCGACTTCAATGGCCTTATCATTCACTTAACTTAGGCAACTCATTTAACGAAAATTTGTCGTTCGACACCGAATAATTACCTCTAAACAAATACTCTTTATCAAAGTATATAAGCTCATTATTGAAATGCCAGTTGCGAACTTATTAGCACTCATCAGCACGCCATTAGGTACTTAAATTGTCCACCACAGCAAAGATGCTAATTAAAAAGTTTGCCGCATCTTACCCGTTGTTGTCAGCATGTCAAAATAACTTCCTTTATGTTTAACATTGTTCTTCTACCCTTATAAATTTGATAAAAGAATGATTTAGACATATCTCGTAAAATGAAACAAATAGCAAGTTTTACGTTTTAATAACACTTATATAGAATTGGATGTATTACATTTTCATTTTGAACACTAGATAATTTTAAATTCTTCCGCGATACAGAGAGGAAGCACATAATGAACATTTTATCTAAATTATAATTTGAGTAGTTTTGTATCCTTTGATATTTCAAATTGTTAACAAGAAATCTTGTTTTTTTTATGTATATTTTTCTAACTCCTTAAATTATACTGTACAGTTTTGTGGCATAAGTTAGTTTTAAGTTTAAACCAGCATTTTAACAAGTTTTGGTGGTTCTCAAACGTTACCAGAGGACCCTTTACACCCCAGACACTATTAATATATGTATATGTGTAATAAGTGGCTGCAACTACCACTTTAATTAGTGTTTATGGCCAAAAATGCAACAGCTAGAGTTAACTGAAAACGAAAGAATTCGGAAGTTCGGAAGATCTTTTAGATAAAGGCTTATTATAGTGGGAGATGCTCTACAGTTATAAAATTGGAAGAATTTTCTGGTTACTTTGTAAATGAATGGCTGGAAATGTTCCTATAGATAAAAAGTATGTAGAAACACAATGGTGAATTGTATCCAACCAAATAACACGATAGGAGATGGAATCACAAATGTGTGAAAGATGAAGTTTCATATTGTGATTTATTAATAAAAACAAAGTTTTTAATTAAAAGTGTTTCCACAAATCAACAATTTAAAAAAATGTCTACAAACTTTTGCACATATTCAGCATGTATACGAGTGTAAAAGTGAGACAAGATTGTAAATACATAATCGGGGGTAAGATTTCCCACTTCAATTTCATATAACATATATATTCATGTCCGGGGGTAAAATGTCTCAGAGGGTTAAACACTTGTACCAATAACTCTTTTAATACCAATCGTAAATTACAATTTAACGGTACATTTACTCTTATTTTCAATTAACTATTACCCCCGATTTCATCGGCATGGATCACTTTTAGTGGATAAAAAATGAGAATGAATTTTCAAATTAATATTTAATGATAACCACTACGAATTTCAATGTGTTACAAGAAAATACAACTGTTGTAATTTGTAAAAATTTTCGAAAGTAGTTCAGATTCACAGGCCTGACATCCATCATGTTTGTAAAGCCCCATCGCAATTGGTTCAGTCGTTTCGAAGATTAACCCATGTAGACAGAGAGAGACAAAATTTTTTAAGAGCCATTTGTGCCGTAATAACAAACAAAAAACCGTGAGAGTTTAAAAATGGCAGCTCTTTAAATATTGTAGACAGACAGTTCAATTTTATCTATAACACACATATTTTCGGATCAATTCACTATACAATTGTTGCTCCGATCATTGCTCGCAAATTGGAAACCAGTTTTATCCGTGATAAATAGCGTTTTGGAAGAAGAGAAATGTCTTCCTAGTTGAGAACACACTGTGATGTAATTCCCGTCCCTATACCTACTAACTTTCATACCCACTTAAATTCTTACTCCTATCACATTTCCTTTGAGAAATGTAATTTCTACCTAAACGTTAACTGGGATTTATCTTTGAATGGTTATTAATCATTTTTTAATATATAGTTTCAGCACTGAAAGCATAGTACTGCTTAGCATCTCCCAATAATTTCATGAGAGCTTTCTTGTGCTTAAATGATTTTATATATTTTAGCAAAATTAATTACCTAACAGTAGCTACTTGACCCTAAAACCGTTGACACCAAAACATTATACGCACCTTTTTACATAATTATCGCTATTCAAAGCATTGTTGACACATTTCATCCCTTAGTAATTTCACGAGCGCTTTTTATGTTTAGATTATTTTGGATATTTTCGCAAAAATAATGCCTATTTGCCAACGCATTAGAAGATCGATGGCACCAAGGGATTCTACGTACATTTCACATAATTATTATTTCTCATAAGTTTTAAAACACAAGACTTACATTTGGATCATTTTCGTAAACTTCTTCCCAGTCTTCTTTGACTATCATTCTTACAGTTCGAATGTTGAAGCTGTTACTATTTCGTACTCCTTTCGAAACGCATGTGTAGACACCTTCTTCTTGTGGGGAAACAGCCTAAATCAATGCAACACTTATATTTTAAGTTTCGTGTTAGCATATACATTTATTTGCTTTTAGCATTTTAACAATAGGTAAATAGGTAATATTAATAGCAATTGTCTCTTCTCAATACGTTTGCAGGAATCCCATATGAGTCCTTGCAAGCGGCGAGCTCAATTTGAGTATATTGCGAGTAAATGTTTGTGCATGTTGACGAATGTCTATTTACCTTTCGCAAAAACTTTCAAAACGTTTGATTTGCAACTTTACCAAAAATAAATAAATTTTTCCAACATTAACTACGGAAAAATCCTATATCAGTAAAAAGGAAATAATGTGTCAGGGTTAGGTGCGATGCCCATGTCACCTTGGAACATAAAGAGAATGTACAGAAGCAATTTCTTTTTATTTAACTCTATTTTACTCGTTCTGTACCCACACAGGACGAATAATGTATCCAATATATCTCGCTTAAGAAGTAGGTCGACGATATGAAGATTCGCAAATTATATGATCAGAGACCTTAGAGAACTTACAGGTTTTGATAAATAAGCAAATATTTATTAAATAATAATATTGAAAACATTTGACTGTTGATAATTTTTAAGTTTAAACTTGAGAATTTTCGTTACTCATCACAGTAAAAAAAAGAATTTGGAAAATTGCCAAAATTGTCTACAGCAATAAATACCGTTTTAGCACAGTATATATTCTGTCAATTCATATTTTACATTGCAGAGCCATTGTCCGTATCAATCAGATAAAGTTGAAGGCTTTTTATTGCTTCAGAAATAGTAAATGAATCTTTATAACTGTAAGCTCTAATTCGTTTTTATTTTTATTTAAGAATCTTAAGCAACTGAGAACTGAACATAGTAACATTTTCTCAAAGTTATTACTGAAAGTTCAGTTAAAATCATATTCGGTTGAATGAATTAAGACCATNGAGGTTCACTTTTCACAATTTAATATCTTTTCCATTTAATTGTGATTGTATTGTAATTGTAATGGTTAATAAAAACTTCAGACGGTTTCAACACATTTAAACGTTTATTTAGGAATCAATCCTAATTAAAATCAAATAAAATAATAATATAAAATGTCAACTACTGCATTAATTATATCACAATTCATTAAAACAACTACAAAGCAATAGCAATTCAATTTAAAATCTTCATGTGGAGACAGATGAAGAAATTTCCCTAGATTGATGTTTTTGTGCTGTAAGTTCAGTTGAGACCATTTCTCTATGCTTAATGTATGAAAGAAATACATTATACAATGTTGTTACTCCATTAATATAAAGAACCTGATATTTAACTGGCACATACAAAAAATTAATAAATTGTGTAGGAGGCCAAACACACCAATCCATCTAAAAGAAAATATTATAATTAGAAAAACATAATATTCAGTTAATGGAAAAAATACTTACTGTATACACTTCAATAAATTTATCTTTCAATTCTTTAGTACATTCTTTGGTTGATTTAAGTTCTAGATATCCAAGGCAGTAAAAGAATTCTACTATACAAACTGGAGACATTATAATTTGATCTAAACAAATTTTGCTAATAACAGATTGTAAATTTCGTCTTGGTAAAATTTTATCCATCCAACCATAAAAGTAATGATGCAGTGGACCTTGTGACAGCCCTACTATAAACATCTGCCCTAAAAATAATTGTTTCATAAAGAAGTTCATGTTAAATTTATGATGTGATTCAACAGTTACCTACTCTTAACCAGTTGTATCTCTTCTTTAGTTTACCTTGCCTATATTCTATTTCTTGTTGAATTATGTCTCCACCAAGCATCAATACACCACATGATATCGTATTAGTTGCTAAAAGGTATTTTCCAAAGGCTTTATTAAAATTTCTTTGAATCGGACCAATCTTTAGAACACCAATCATTTTTTTAAAACTCATTTTGTTTTTTTTATTTGGACAACTTTTGTAAGTTCTTCCAAGTGAATAATTATAGCAATTTTAAATAAAGGCTAATCATTTATGTAATATAAACACTTTTTATATTATGAATATGATGCAATTAGAACTATCATTTTTGTTATCTGTTGGATTAATTCAAATTATATTTCATTTTATCTTTACTAGGAGTGCGTGATGTTTGGATTTTATAAAGCACTATTCATACACTACAAGTCACAATTATTTAGCGATATAAATTTCTATTGGTTTATAATGTATTGTTTAAATAAATTATGAATTGTTATTAAGGAATAACTATAGCAATTCCTAACCAAAATGTCATCGATGTTTATGTTTACTTATCATCATCCCCACTTTTTTCGTCCTGGTAACCAATAGTAACCGTTGCATTTCCATGATGGTTTCCTTTCGTACTGTACAGGGTGTTTTCAAATAAGTTACTGTTTCATATACATGTATGCACATTTTATAATGTTGATTGCTATAAATATATGAAACAATTTTATAGATTTGAAATATTCTTCTAAATATCTGAGTTTTCCTCAAGTGTTTACCTATGTATTGAAATCTTTGTAGTAGTTTTTAGAAATTTGTAACAAGAAATTAAACAAATGGGGACGTTTTCCTGTGGCCTACTACGCCAGCCGCCATTGTGTTACATTAATGTTACTATTAATAAGACTAAAAAGTTCATTTTTATCATTTTATTAAAACACACATCATATAATGTAACACAAACAAGTCAAAATTTATGTAAAATATCTATAACAAACATTATTTTTTTCATGCATATGACACTGAAGTAAAAAAGTACAATGAATAAATGCAGAGGTGCCACCGTCCATTAAAATTCACACATCTATTTATAAGCCTTAACAATTTACTCAAAGCAAAACACATATACATACAATTTAGAACAGCTTAATAGTTATAAATTATATGAGAACGAATCACGTAACGTTATATAATTTGTACAACATTTTTATTTATGCGCCTTTCGTTTCTTCGCGTCTTACAACCGTCGCCAACCAACACGCCAGGACTATCCCAATCACCTAAAACACAATGTTTAATTATCATTTGACAAAAATAATAAACTCAACTAACATAAACCGTTTATTAGATACCTAATTAAAATATAATCAGACAATATGTAACGATCTACAGCGGTTTTTCGTCAATTGTGTTAGTAACTGTGAGTTTCTCGTATTAAATTACAGGTACGTTAAAAACAGGAACAGTCTTTTTTTCTACATACAAGGTACCGTATGTCCTTTTCTGTACCCCCAACAATATATGAACAAAATTTCATGATAGGTTTTACTTGCGGCTTCGCTAGCCTTGGTGTCCGAAATACTTGTCAAAAATCATCGACTACCACATAAAACTAATTTCTGTATCCTTAAGAAGCAGTCTTTCTTCTAGATACAAGGGACCCTATGTCCTTTTCTGTATCCCCGACAATGTGTCTACAAAAATTTTATGATAGGTTTTACCCGCGGCTTCGCTCACGTTCGTGTCCTAAATACCTGTCAAACATCACCGTGGATCACATAAAGCTAATTTTTTCGATCCCTCGGGAACAGTAATTTTTTTTGTATAAAAAGTACCCAACCTCCTTTTCTGTACCCTGATAATGTGCAAATTTGATAATGATAGGTTGAGTACGTAAGGCGTAAAGTGATTGCAAACAAACAAGCTCACATTTATAATACTACTCAGGATAATATGGGAAGAATTAAGAAAATTAGTTATTTTATTACGTACTTGTATAAATGCGATACCAATGCCGACTCCCACCAGCAGGGTTGCCCTCGACCTTGCCTTAGTTACCAATTTCTCGTAACATCCTTCGGTACTGAGATAGTTCACTCCTTTTTGATAACTAGCGCATGAATTATTTGGTTCCTCGTTTCCCTTTTGTTCTGCATAGCAACAACTTGCTGGAATTCCACTTTGCCAGTCTCTGGGTCCTTCCACACCGCAACATGAAAGCTTGAACGGAAGAGATTTTCATTTAAACATACCTATTCCGAAAAATTATTACTTAAAAATGTTGTGTCGGAGACTCTAAATCTTGTGATTACGAGAATTTGAAATTCAAAATAATTTACATTATTAAAGCTGCAGCCTATGTCTGCCCTGAAGGCCTATTATAAATACTGATTTTAAAAATCGGATGAATAATTTCAGAAGTAGCCTCTTACATGTAAACCAGAAAACCAAACCTTCGAAAGTATTTAAATTTAAAAGATGTTCATCATATTGATAAGGTCGCCAGTCCTAAGACTTGTTGAACATGCACATACACTCCTTCCTATCCTGAGCTAATATTCGCATTTCCCTAAAACTAGAACATCCTACATCCTTAACAATTTGGGAACAGTAATCTAATCTAGGTCTACCTCTACTTCTCTTAACTCCTGTTTTTGTCTGTAGTATGTCTTTGACTAGATCTTCATGCTTGAAAAGGTGTCCTACCAACCTATCTCGCCTATTTTTTATTGACATCCATAGAGTCCTCTGTTCTCTTATTTTATCTAATACCTCTTTATTTCTGTCCTTTTCTATCCACGGTATCATCATCATTCGCCGGAAACACCACATTTCGAGCGTTTCTAACCTTTTCTTTTTCTGCGGCGCCCACCGTTCATGTTTCGCACCCGTACAGCGCCGTGCTCCAAACATACACCTTTAACAATCTTTTTCGAATTTCTAAATTAATCGTTCGCGAGCATACTTAGAAGTGACTCCTTTTTATTGAAGGTGACTTGACCCTGCTTTATATCCCTATTACTCCTTCCGTCCTGACATATTTGACTTGCTAGATACCTAAAATCAGCCACTTTTTCTAATATTTCGTCTCCTATTTTTACATTCGCTCTTTTCTTAGTTATTCTTCCCTAACATACTAGTATTTTTGTTTCANAATCGTTCGCGAGCATACTTAGAAGTGACTCCTTTTTATTGAAGGTGACTTGACCCTGCTTTATATCCCTATTACTCCTTCCGTCCTGACATATTTGACTTGCTAGATACTTAAAATCAGCCACTTTTTCTAATATTTCGTCTCCTATTTTTACATTCGCTCTTTTCTTAGTTATTCTTCCCTAACATACTAGTATTTTTGTTTCACTTTTATTTATTTTAATACTGATAATGCTAATACTGGTGCATACCTGACAATAAATTATCGATACTTTCCTTGCCCCATTTACAATACAACCTTTGCTTACATACAAATTTTATGTAAAGGACACGCAATTTGCGTATTATTATTATTTGGCCTGACATTCCATTCACATAAATTTTCATTCATTTATTAACGGGAGGAACCGTTGTTAAGTATATTACTTTTTTACACAACAACCACTTCGTTAATTAATAATCACCACCTATTCTATGTTATATCATCACTAGTTGGTATACAGGACAACAGATGCCTTAACAGCTACAAATGTGCACAACACCTAATAACTAAATGCTTCTTATCAACCAATTGAATAGAAATAAGTAAGAGTGTAATGGAAAGTGAATCAGAATAAATAAAATCAGGAATAATGATTTTATGTACCTTCTTTTGTGCATTATCCCATGCAAGGCGTTCTGAATCGCTGTTATAGTTTTTCATAGAGTTTTTGAGGTTTTCCTTCAATGCCATTTCGAAATCTTGCTTGTAAACAGCAGCAGCAATACCAACGGCTAATTCTATGATAAAAACGATCAAGAGACACACAGCAAACTATAAAATAAATGAAAAGATTAATGTTAGTCATCTTTTTTATTGTAAAAGCATGTAAATTGGTCCTACATGTACTGGGCCAATGTCATTTCGTTCATTATTAATATCTACGATCTCACTGTAGTTGATCGTCGACAGCGATAATAATAAAAGTAAATGTAAGTCTTGCAGTAACTGGAAAATTGCTAGTCTACATTTTAAAGGGCAATGGGTTAAAATAATAATAACATCATCAGATTTATTTTGTCATGAAGTTTTATTATCACACTGCGTAATGTAGTTAAAACTATTCTGTCGCTTTATTACAGCAAGGATCGTATTTGTGGACAGTGTATTCGGATTATTACAATAAAAGACATCTACTTATGATTAATTGAAAAAGGAAATATTAATAAAGTAGAACTGTTACTTTATGAATTATTACTGGACTATTTCTTTAAAACAATTGAAAATGAAAGTACTTGCAAAGTAGAACACAAAATTTTATTTATGAGTTTAATTTTTTATTCTTCGATACTTTATATTCAGTAATACTAAGGGTCGTCAATTTTTACTTTTTTCAATCGATCATACGAAATTATTAGGTAATTATACATGTCGGTCCTAAACTGTTTAATTTATTTGACCAATCCAAAATGAAAAGTTACTCACGAACGACAGACAAATAAATTTATTATGAATAGATTATTCTTTATCAGAGCCAAGAAAACAGTTAACGTTTCCTTAATTTTCACTTTTAATTTTTTATTTTGTTCTAATATTGAAATTTTTATGACAACGCAAAAATTACAATTTTCAATTGTAATTTATTAGGTAACTTGCAATGATCTCAATTTTGACATGTTTCTTTAAAAATTATTTCAAGNTAGTAAATTTATTTCTGCTGGGATTTTATTTTTAAAAATTCGGGTTCAAATTGTAATTTTTATTGTTTTCGCTTACGAAACAACGGGCTAGTGGGATAAACTGTATATATCACTTTAATATTTAGGTAAATTTTCGTTTTTCATTTACTCCGTGTGTTCTTTTAATTATCAAAGATGTTAAAGTAAACCGTTGAAAATATTTCGAACCTTAATTGCAAAAATTAAAAACAAAAGATGTATTATTTAATTGTTTAGCTAACGTATTTGTCTTCGTAACAAATAATTTTATAAAAGAAAATTAGTTTGTGTATTGAAATGTAAATGAGTATCTTTAGCCTAAAAAGTTTTAAATAACAATAAGACGGTTAACAACCATGTCGTTAACGATTTTGATTGTTTTCTGTGTACATTTATTTTCATAACATAATTAGGTTTAACATTTTAGATGGTATTATTTCCACCAATTCTTGTTGTTGTTTTATGTTGCGACTTTTAAATAACTTTTTGATAAAAAGGATCAAGTAAAAGTTATCATTGGCATCGTTTAAGACGACAAAAAATTGTAATTCTTCTAGTAACTACGTATTTTATAATGAACCAAAGAACTATTTCATTTTGAAAATGTATTTTTAAGGAAATGTTAAGTTTCAAAAGATGAATCGTTAGTGCGTCTTACCGCCATCAACATGTAATACGATTCCCTGATGGCTCCAAAGCATCCCAAAAAGGCAATAATAAATATGATTGCTCCGACTACAATCAAAACAACTGGTGGCGCCAATATTCGATTTTCCATAAAATGACTAAACTCCCCCACATCCGCAAGGACAACTGCTCCTGCTACTATAATACCAATTCCGGATATCTAACGACGAAAGAGAAGGATCATTATGAAATCTCTCAAATACCAATACGTAATAAACTTCAATTAAGATTTTATTATGGATATAAACTCACCGCGAAAATGAGATTGAAGAAGAATAAAAGATATTTGATAAAACTCATGCCACAGGTCTCCATGATGCCCGTTAATAGGATTATTTTACGCACGCACGCAATCTTTCAACTAACGCCAACTCTGACCGAAACGAATTGTATTAAACTCTCCCTCTTTGGATTCCTTCGCGCTAGAAAATCGTAAAGTTCTGACTGCTTCAGATTGGTCGATGTTTAGCTCAGTTGCCAAACCATGAAGGAAATATTTTTGAAACGCAACGGGGATGATTCAACGTAACAATGATGAAAACAAATATACAATTATGAAAATCACTCAATATTCAATATTGTTTATTCGTCTTATTGAAGCTTCAAACAAAATTATGTTCATTAAGTACAAAGGAACTTTTTCTGATTGTGAATCCTTTATTAAAAGCAGGAGTGGTTGTGCTTTCAAAAATAGGTGAATAGGTTTAATTGGTACGTTCAAATTTGGCATAATCCGCAATAAAACTGTCACATTTACTTTCTTTTTTCAACTTACTAAGTAGACTAGAGTGGCAGACATTATAGGGAATACAGTAAACATAGAAAAGAGATGTCAAGTAGGAATTGCAGCGGACACTAATAAAGAAAATGGAATAACGTTACACCAATTAATGTGCAACAGAAAGAGATACACACAAGAAAAATTTGAGCACGTTGCCACCATCAGACTTTAAAGAAAGTTTAACATTCTCAGGAAGTTAGAAAACTAAAGACGGTTGTGTAAAGATATAATTCCAATCAGGCAATTATAAAGCCGACCCTAACTTTTTGCATACCTAAGCAACCTCTAACTATCTCTTTTCATTTTGTCTGTAGTATTCCTGAAGCATTTCCTAACTTAACAAGGGCGGGTTCAAGATGCAGCAAATGCCTATACCCTAACTGGAACCAATAAAGAAGATACGTCCATTCTCTCAGATAATTTATTGTGGACTTTGCCAATTTTGTTCATCCCAACTATAATCCGAGAAAAACTTAACTTAGAATTTATTACAAAACCTTAGAAGACTGGAAACTTTGGCGGTGTCGTAGTCCTTGAAGAAGATTTGATACCAGAAAGTTGAGTGTTGTGGATTGGCGATGGGGTTGGAGCTATTTGGTAGTATATTCTTTTTGAGTTGAAGTTTAAATAACCGCAAATACGAACAACTAGACTACTTATGCAAATAGCTTATATGTGCCGTACTTTTATATCAATAATCCTTTAATAGACCATGCAAGAATGTGTCCTTGCCAAGTAATTTACCTACTGTGTAGTATTCCTTAACTTGATGGCAACACTGTTGGTTTTATTTTGCGGAATTGTGTGTTATACTCATGTGTGTATATGGAGGGAGGTAGTTCAATGGCTTAAAATGCGTACAACACAATTTTGAAACTGCCATAGTAACCATATTTGTACACAAAGTTTAATACCAGGAAATTTTATTGTGAAGTGTAGGCACAATTACTTTGCTAAATGCATTTTCCTGCTGTAAATCAAAACTTCACTTGAACAATAATGAATAGGCCTAACAGTTAATCAATAAGTAATTTTCGTTTCACAAAATACGAATTGAACCTAGCCGTTAATTGAACGCTCTTTGATAGAATATTCAAAATAAATGTTTATTCTTGATGCCCTCATCATCCGTAAAGGTCAAGGTGTCAAATATAAACTTTATATCATTTGGTCCAAATCAATATAAAATCTTATTGATGACCTCTCACGAAAACTAAGGCGGATTGATGAGGCAATTATATGAAAGACTTTGCCCGCGTGAATTTTTTCTGGCAGTGTCAGTTCTCATTACAATTCTTATAATCAATGAACAATTAAAATAATTAATTAACCTAGATCATTCCCAAAAGCTTTCTGTTCGTGTCTGTAAAGACCTACCAAAATCGGTTCAGCCATTTCAAAGATTAGCTGGTACAGACTACAGACAATCAGGCGTGGTAGGGCTGACACACAGACAAAAAACATTTTTTTAGGGTCGCTTGTGCCTCAACACCTGACCATACGAACTTAAACTAGTACATTCTTCAACTTTATTTATTTATATGTATTTAAGTATGTACCTACCGCTGCATGGATGTGTAGATTTTCATTGATTATCTATATAAACAATTCTATGTAAAAGGAAAATTTTCACATGTTTATATTTCCTGAAGGACTGAAACGCTTTTTCCTCGTGAATTTCTTCTTACTTATTGATAATTAGGCATTTAAATAATTTATAAATAGATGCCCAGTAGTAACAAATTTTTCTTTTCAGTGCCTTGGAAATGAGGGAGAAGACCAAGCATGGTATAAGCCAAGCCGTATAATTTATTGGTAGCAGTTGCAACTCAATGTAAGTTTTAAATCTTTTCCAATTTTTTGACTTTTAAAAACTAGACCCTTTCAATTTTCTTTCTACATTGCCGTAATAACAAATCGAAAAACGTGTCTAATGCCCCCTGGCGGTAAAACTAGCCATCAAATGGAAATTTCTGGAATTATCTCAGGTCGCCTATTTCGAAGGAAAAATTTGCATTGGAATGATTTTTCTTTTTTTTTGCTAATAAATACATTTTCATGCAATTACACGACCCCAAAAATAAATTTTAGTATTATAATTAAGGCATTATAATTTTATCCTTGAAGGACAAAAAATGTCACGTACCTGCCTACAACCAAAATCGCTTTATATCAATTTTGCGGTGGAATATGCAGATATTTTTGTATCTTCAGACTAATTTGTATTTAGTAGAACAATGTATGTTTCCTGTTAGTTAATAAAACGAATACATTTCCTTTATGTGGCTATAAAACGTTCTAATGACCTAACTATGTTCCTATAAAACTCCATATTGATTTCTTTTTCCCAAACAAACCCTTATTCCCTTGTATTAAACATGACATTTGACCTTTATGAAAACATCTAATATGGATTTGAACTATTGTTTACACAAAAATACAATCAGTTATTTAAACGGCAATTGACATAGCATAAGCAAATTTGACTGTCTTTTAAGAAAAATTAAAAAAAAACAGTTGTGTTCAATTGTACTGTACTGGTATTCTGCTTCAATGTGTTGTTTCTTAAAATTTGTGATCAACAAAAAAAGTGGCAATTAATTTTTCAAATTTTCAAAAATAAACCATTTTTGGGTTGGGTTGGGTTATGTGTTTAGTTAAGTTTCATAAATAATTACACAAATTCTTAACAGAATTGTATCTCCTTTATTATTGCGATAAATACATACGACGAAGAAACGCCGAACAAATATAGTTTTGTACTGGAAAAACTGCAAAATTATCATTTGGAAGTGTTCATCCAGTTTATTATGGTAGCTACGCTATATACCTACTACTGAATATTCATAAAAATATAATTTTCATCTTTAAATAGATTTTTTCGTTTCTATTTCATTTCGTCCCGCTTTTTTATGGCATTAGCTAGCCAACATGCCAGCATTACTCCAATTATCTGAAAATAAAACTCCTATTAGGCCAGAGCAATATATTTTTTCCACATGATTTCTGATAATTGTATTGTTGTTTTTGAAACTTTGGCGTCTGCACCACTCCAGAATATTTTGCTAATTCTTAGTACAGCTATGCAAGTAATTACCAAAAGAGTTTGATTTAATAACTAACAAAAAATTGCAAAAATTTTGAACGAAAGTAGAAAGTAAAGTCAAACAAAAATTATTCTAATTTCTAAATATTTTACATTAAACATAAGCATGAAATATTACTACGAAAATGTTTCTTAATGTATTCACGTTTTAATTAATTATGATTAATTGCTTTTGGAAATGCTTATATAAAGCAGGTCTTTTAAGCTTTTTCCTATTATTACATTAAAGGTTTTCACCAAAAAATTATTGCGCATCGATTAAGAACTGCTCTGATTATACATTTATCGTTTTTATAAAAAGATACCTCAACAAAAGCGATTCCTATTCCAACCCCGGTTAACGTTTTAGCTCCGGTATTCGCCTTTTCCTGTAATTTATCAAAGCACCCGTCACTGTACACTATTTCGTCACCTCTCTCAGAACTGTTGCAATGCATATTTGTCGGTGGTGGCGCTCCTTTCTTTGTCCTGTGACAACAACTAAAAGGTCTACCTCCAGACCAATCTTCAGGACCATCTACTCCACAACATTCCAGCTAAAACGTAAAAGGAGTGACTTTAATTGTCAAACAATTTTTCTTTAAACTTGTAGTTTACGATCAACTTTAGTTTAGGTTGGTCTAGATTGGTCAAATATTTGGTCTTTTTGTATTAATAATTCAAACATTTTAATTTTTGAAATATTTACTAGTAAAAATTTATAGTTAGCTGTAATAAAATTAAATTAATACTTAATAGTAGATTTACTTACATTTATTTGCATATTGTCCCAAGCAATTCTATCTACTTTACTATCGTAGTAAACGTCTAAAGATTCTTTCAAATTTTCTTTTAAAAGAACTTGAAATTCGCCTTTATAAACTGCTGCAGCGATTCCGACAGCTAATTCTACCACAAATATGATGAGAAGACAAAGCGCAAACTGGAAAAAGAACAAATACTCATTGTATTTTACAAAAAAAAGCAATTATTCTATTAAACAATATTCTATGGTAGAAGAAAAAGACATATTAGAAGCAGAAACAGGCGTTGAGAGGGGCAGAGGTACAACTAGATTAGATTAATATTCGCAAATAGGTAGAGATATAGACTAATATTATGTTCTAAAGTTCCAGAAACGCGAAGACTGGCTAAAGATAGATAATATAAGGTTTGTTTGTTACATTTGCATCCGCTATACTTTTTTGGATAATGATAGATATTTATTTTATCTATTTTGGTAATGTTTTCCAACATTCCAGTGTTAAAATTTGCTAATCCAAGTGTGACATTTTCGTAAGATATTTATAACACATGGCCATTGTGTGCCATTTCTGAGGACATAGTGTTTGAATGAGGACAAAATTGTATAGGGGTTGGTTATTGATTTTTGTCGTAATGGCCTTGTTTACTACTTTTCTTTTGAAAATATATCAACATCCCCTTACAACTTAAAATATAAGCTTTTCCTTTGTATATCGGACAGCCGAAATAGCACTAATTATTTACCCTATGTGTGTTAACGTCTAGCCGATCGTAGTATTTGTTGGTAATACGTCGAGTAACCACAATTTTCCAAAAAACGTTTAAACCTATGATTTCCGTTACAGTTTTCTTGTGTACGTTTAGATTAAAGAAAGTAATTGTCTTCTTGCATTTTCCGTCACTATCTCTGGAGATGCTCCAGGATTAAATTAAAAAACTATATTTTGACCTCTTTGTAGTTAACCCTTTTTAACGAAAAATGCAACATGATACAGGAAAAATGAAGGTAGTATAAGCTATTCTATCCCCGATGGAGAAATTATTGTAAATATTTATTAATGGTTAGTACTAAAAGCTTCGTCAATCCCTTCGATTTATTACAATACCAAAATTTATTAGTAGATATGCATATAGTTAGAACGATCAAAATTGACAAAGTCCGCAATAGATTATCTGTGAGAATAGACGTATCTTCTTCTTTGTTTTCAATTGGAACAATAGTCATTTGCTGAGTTTTGAACAGGCTCTTGTTAAGTTAGGAAATGCTTCATGTTGAGTATAGACAAAGTGAAGAAGGATAGAAAATTGTGCAGCGGTTAGAGCATTAGCTACGTAAAAGATCAGGGTCGGCTTTATAACTACCTGGTTGGAATTATATCTTTACACAAGCGTCTTTATTTTCCTAAATTCCTAAGAATACTGAATTTTGTTTAAAGTCTGATGCTGGTAACATGCTCAAATACTGCTTGTCTACATCTCTTTCTGTTACACATCTATTGGTATAACGTTATCCCTTTTTTTATTAGTGTCCGCTGCAATTCCTACGTAACACCTCTTTTCTAAATTTGCGATATTCCCTATATCGTCTGTCGTGTTTTATTCCTAACTATACCAATTTTGAACGTCACAACTACATAAAACATTAAACAATTGTAAATGCATCAAGTACCTAGTAAAAGCAAATATTACAAAAAAAATTTAATATTCTTTAACTTGTCACGTAATTTTACAAAAATAAGTCTCGTATTTATTGGGTTAGCATTACCTTGGACTTGCAATTAATACGAACGTGCACGGACTTTAAATAAGGTACTTACTGCCATCAAGGCGTAGTATGATTCTTTAATGGCTCCCAAGCAGCCTAGTGCAGCTACGAGAAACACAATTATTCCTACGATTATCAGTAGAATCGGCATTGCTATTATTCGGGTCTCCATGAAACGGCTGAAGTCTCCGACATCAGAAAGAATTACTGATCCAGCTATAATCAAACCTAAACCAGAAACCTGTCAAAATAAANAAAGAAAATGGAATAACGTTACACCAATTAATGTGCAACAGAAAGAGATACACGCAAGAAAAATTTGAGCACGTTGCCACCATCAGACTTTAAAGAAAGTTTAACATTCTCAGGAAGTTAGAAAACTAAAGACGGTTGTGTAAAGATATAATTCCAACCAGGCAGTTATAAAGCCGACCCTAACTCTAACCACTGCATCGCTTACTATTTATCTACTATCTGTTTTCATTTTGTCTGTAGTACTCCTGAAGCATTTCCTAACTTAACAAGGGCGGGTTCAAAATGCAGCAAATGGCTATACCCCAAGTAGAAACAAGAAAGAAGATACGTCCATTCTCACACATAATTTATTACGGTCAATTTTGATCATCCCAACTATTATAATACGAGTAAAACTTAATTTAGAATTAGTTACAAGAACTTAGAAGACTGGAAACTTTGGCGGTGTCGTAGTCCTTGAAGAAGATTTGATACCAGAAAGTTGAGTGTTGTGGATTGGCGATGGGGTTGGAGATATTTTGTAGTATATTCTTTTTGAGTTGAAGTGTCAACAACCGCAAATACGAACAACTACAATACTTATGTAAAGAGCTTACATGCGTCGTACTTTTATATCAATAATCCTTTAATTGACTATACAAGAATGTGTCCTTGCAAACTAATTTTCCTACTGTATAGTATTCCTTAACTTGATGGCAACACTGTTGGTTTTATTTTGCGGAATTGTGTGTTATACTCATGTGTGTATATGGAGGGAGGTAGTTCAATGGCTTAAAATGCGTACAACACAATTTTGAAACTGCCATAGTAACCATATTTGTACACAAAGTTTAATACCAGGAAATTTTATTGTGAAGTGTAGGCACAATTACTTTGCTAAATGCATTTTCCTGCTGTAAATCAAAACTTCACTTGAACAATAATGAATAGGCCTAACAGTTAATCAATAAGTAATTTTCGTTTCACAAAATACGAATTGAACCTAGCCGTTAAATGAACAGTCTTTGATGGAATATTCAAAATAAATGTTTATTCTTGATGCCCTCATCATCCGTAAAGGTCAAGGTGTCAAATATAAACTTTATATCATTTGATCCAAATCAATATAAAATCTTATTGATGACCTCTCACGAAAACTAAGGCGGATTGATGAGGCAATTATATGAAAGACTTTGCCCGCGTGAATTTTTTCTGGCAGTGTCAGTTCTCATTACAATTCTTATAATCAATGAACAATTAAAATAATTAATTAACCTAGATCATTCCCAAAAGCTTTCTGTTCGTGTCTGTAAAGACCTACCAAAATCGGTTCAGCCATTTCAAAGATTAGCTGGTACAGACTACAGACAATCAGGCGTGGTAGGGCTGACACACAGACAAAAAACATTTTTTTAGGGTCGCTTGTGCCTCAACACCTGACCATACGAACTTAAACTAGTACATTCTTCAACTTTATTTATTTATATGTATTTAAGTATGTACCTACCGCTGCATGGATGTGTAGATTTTCATTGATTATCTATATAAACAATTCTATGTAAAAGGAAAATTTTCACATGTTTATATTTCCTGAAGGACTGAAACGCTTTTTCCTCGTGAANAACCTATCTCGCCTATTTCTTACTGACTTCCATTGTGTTAACGTCTAGCCGATCGTAGTATTTGTTGGTAATACGTCGAGTAACCACAATTTTCCAAAAAACGTTTAAACCTATGATTTCCGTTACAGTTTTCTTGTGTACGTTTAGATTAAAAAAGAAATTGTCTTCGTGCATTTTCCGTCACTATCTCTGGAGATGCTCCAGGATTAAATTAAAAAACTATATTTTGACCTCTTTGTAGTTAACCCTTTTTAACGAAAAATGCAACATGATACAGGAAAAATGAAGGTAGTATAAGCTATTCTATCCCCGATGGAGAAATTATTGTAAATATTTATTAATGGTTAGTACTAAAAGCTTCGTCAATCCCTTCGATTTATTATAATACCAAAATTTATTAGTAGATATGCATATAGTTAGAACGAATAGTCCGCAATAGATTATCTGTGAGAATAGACGTATCTTCTTCCTTGTTTTCACTTGGGACAATAGTCATTTGCTGAGTTTTGAGCAGGCTCTTGTTAAGTTAGGAAATGCTTCATGTTGAGTACACACAAAGTGAAAAAGGATAGTAAACTGTGCAGCGGTTAGAGCTTTAGCTACGTAAAAGATCGCGGTCGGCTTTATAACTACCTGGTTGGAATTATATCTTTACACAAGCGTCTTTATTTTCCTAAATTCCTAAGAATATTGAATTTTGTTTAAAGTCTGATGCTGGTAACATGCTCAAATACTGCTTGTCTGCATCTCTTTCTGTTACACATCTATTGGTACAACGTTATTCCTTTTTCTTATTAGTGTCCGCTGCAATTCGTACGTGACATCTCTTTTCTAAATTTGCGATATTCCCTATATCGTCTGTCGTGTTTTATTCCTAACTATACCAATTTTGAACGTCACAACTACATAAAAAATTAAACAATTGTAAATGCATCAAGTACCGAGTAAAAGCAAATATTACAAAAAAAAATTAATATTCTTTAACTTGTCACATAACTTCACAAAAATAAGTCTCGTATTTATTGTGTTAGCATTACCTTGGACTTGCAATTAATACGAACGTGCACGGACTTTAAATAAGGTACTTACTGCCATCAAGGCGTAGTATGATTCTTTAATAGCTCCCAAGCAACCTAGTGCAGCTACGAGAAATACAATTATTCCTACGATTATCAGTAGAATCGGCATTGCTATTATTCGGGTCTCCATGAAACGGCTGAAGTCATGTACTGGGCCAATGTCATTTCGNTCAGTAGAATCGGCATTGCTATTATTCGGGTCTCCATGAAACGGCTGAAGTCTCCGACATCAGAAAGAATTACTGATCCAGCTATAATCAAACCTAAACCAGAAACCTGTAAAAGTAAATTGTTTTAATTAATTAAAACTAGTGCAAAAATGAATGCGATATTACTTCTTCTTGCTGGAGAAGTTTACAATTTATTAAGACTTCTAAATTTGATCCAAAGTTCAAATAATCAATTGTCTAATAGAATACTAATCTTAAAAGCTATAACATTTTTCTCAGTCCGAGAAAATGTCTTCAAATTATAATTGTTTCTGGAAAGATTTACTTTCCAATCTTGGCTCAATTGACCAGTTAGATTATTTTAATAAATCTTTCTGGAAATCTGTTCCAAGACCGAATGTTACTTGTTGACTCGTAAGGATTATTTTCAGCAAGTGAGAAAGAGTGAATCACAAGACTTTTGAATATCTACAGTAAATTACAAATATTTGGATAAGTTACACTTACCGCAAAAAGAAAATTAAACACAAAAAGAAGATATTTTACCATTCCCAATTCGCACATCTCAATCATATTGATTGTCGTTTTGTTTTCTACTGTGTGTTAGTTATGAGAACGTGCCGAAGAAAATCGTGCAGACTGCGAAATTACAGTTGTGAATTTTTCTTTGGCGATGAAATCATATCAAATATCCCTTAGCATTGGTCAAGAGTCCAGTGTTTCCAGTAACGTTACTAGGCGACTTCTTTATAGGTGTTGTTATGTAAATAACTTCGCGGAATTGCAGACCGTCATTAACGCCACTTTATTACCAAACTTAAAGATAGACCAGAAAAAAGAAATATGGGTTGCAACAAAGGTTTCCGTCATATGACGTGGTTTTATCCTATGACCTTTTAGAATGGTCGAATGCAGAAATTTTAATTGAAAAAAAAAAGAACTTGCAAATACAGTGGACTTCGTTTATAACATCGACTGTAACGACAATTATGATATGTCAGTCTCGCAAATTTACCATTCAAACAAACTTTCAAAAATTTGGTAATAATGACATCAATCTCGGATATAACGTCTTGCTCCACTTCCATTTGCCTTTATTGTTATTTATCATCATTGTTCAATTTGTCTTGTTCCGTTAATAACAACACTCGGTTATTACGTCAACATAGTGCTGGTTCCTGGGGTGAGGATATAATCAAGTTGTAATGTAAATCAAAAGTATTCCAATATAGAAGAGGTGAAAGTTGCGATCATCACCATAAAGTCATCAGTCCTAAGACTGGTTGGACACGCACGTCCACTCATTCCTATCCTGTGTTAATCTTCGTATTTCCCTAAAACTAGAACAACCCATATCTTTAACTATTTGTGAACATAAATCTAATCTGCGTCTACCTCTACTCCTCTTAACTCCTCTTTCTGCTTCTAGTATATCTTTGACCAGTCCTCTTCATGCCTACCCACCTATCTCGCCTTTTTTTACTGACTTCCATGAGTCCTCTGTTCTCCTATTCTTTCTAATACCTCTTCATTTGTAACCTTCTCTATCCACGGTATCCTCATCATGACCAGGAAGTCATACAACTTAAGAGGGATAATGAAAATACCGTGGATGAAGAAGATTGAAAATAAGAAAATATTTGGAAAAGTAGGAAAATGGGGTCAGTCTATGAGGAAATATCTTCCGAGAGATGAAGGACTTGCTAAAAATGTCTTTTGCGTAAAGATAGAAGTAAGGAGGGACATATGAAAACCTAAATATCAGTATCGGTTGCAAATACATTAGATGTGGATTTTTCGGGAAACGCCAGAATTGAATGAGGATAGGAAGAAGTGGTCGAACAGTCTTTGGATGGTAGTTATGATTATGATTAAGCATCCTGCCTAAAGAGAAACATCCATAAAAGTGATTTAATGGAGGTGCCAGGTTGGAAACCCTTACAATTTACATACATTTTGTGTAAAACAAGATAAGAAAATAGTAAGGAATCGCATTGGATAAAATGTAGCTTCACGTTTAGAAAAATTTTAAAAAGAAAGATAGCCAACACGACTTTCATAAAAAGTTTATACACTTCCTAAATCTAAATCTCAACAATTAATTACTTGTGAAATGCAAATAGTAGTTTTGAAGTTCTATTTCAGTTTTGTCCTTTATAGTATATATACTTCGCTTTACTGACACTCTATTGACGATTCCACTTATTATGATGAAGTAGTAAAAATTAATTTGACCTTTGAAGAAATACTTCCAATTTAATGCAGTATTCCATAGAAGAGAAATGAAGGAGTGACAGGTGGAATTATCGCACCAAACATCTAAAAATGTTACTTGTGCTTTCAAAAAGAGTTTATAGCTTGAAAACACGACATGTTTTCGCTGCATGTGGGTCAGTTCAAGGACCTTCAACTTTGTGTATGCTGTAGGTACTGAAATTAACATAATGCTCTTAAATTTGAATTCGAGCACAGACCTTGTACCTACTTTACTTTTTTTATTCATAAAAAAAAAATGGAACCACCTCTAGAGAAATGACGCCCAATTTGATATAGATGATTACATTATTACCCTTTAGCCCGGAGTAACAACTGATAGGCGAAGCTTGTAATTAGAGGTTTTCCCTTATCGCTTATTTCAGCACGCACGTGCTAAAAAATGAGCTTTTTCTAATAAATCTCCCACGTGCGTATCATTAATTACTAGCTAAAATTATGTTAGAATTTGTCGAGGAATCCATTAGTAGGACATGGTATAAATATTAGGGTTAAATATGAATAAAGATAAGAGGTGACAAGGGAATTAAGTTTCCATAAAAGGTTATCCGATTCTGTTTACTTTTTGCCTTTATTCTTATCACCCTTTTGACGCCGCATAGCAACGGGAAGTATTTCTTTTGGAGTTTGCAATCGGCTAAATGGTTGTTTTTTATATTCATAGGCCATTTCAGTTAAAGAGCTGATAGCTTAAAAAATCCAATTGTGCAACGTGCAATTTTTATTAAACAATCTAATCCTGGATTAAAACAACACTTTATTTTTACTTTTTATTGATTTAATTTACAAACTATACAATATAATATTATTGACGTGTAGTGTAACGTCAGTGAAACAATTACGTTTAATTAAAATTAGTCATTAATTTCGAGACAATATTGTACCTACATATGCAAAATATACATTGTTAAATACCTTAAAAATATTTTCTGGGTATTATTTTATTAGGATTTTATGAACCATGTGATTATTGTCAAACCGAGAAGGAAAATTAGGGCTTTGGCATGTAACTTATCAGCCGAAGACGGGTGTAGTGACCTGAAAATAAGATTTAGTTATTGGTATTTTATTTTGAAACACGTATGATACAAAAATAAAATCTTTAGTTCATCTTATTTTTTTTCTTTTTGACTAAAAAAAACTGTTAACTACCTAAAACTTTGCTAGTGTTTTCACGTTGAAACGAAACCAGAATGAGTATATATAAAAATATTTTTAGCTTTTGGACCGTCTTTTCTAAATTAAAATAACAACAAATTCGAAATTGTTTATCATATGTATCTCCAGACAGAGGATTGATAAAATTTAATTGTAGGAACCATTTAGTTTGAGATTTAATAATAATTTGTTTTTAATTTGAGTAATAATGATACTTTTTAAATTTTATTATGTAAATGAATTTATTTTTAGAGTTTTAATTATTAGACTGCATTCATTTGATGTTGTACTTCAATAAACAGCTTTGTACCAAATATGAAGGGATGCTTTAGGGTTTTAGGTTTTACTGACTTTTATTAATCCGTAATATTTTAATATCATTCAGTAATATGAAGATTGGAAAAACTTTGGCGGTTGTTGTAGAACAAACAAAATAGCTCAAACCCCAACGCCAAAACACGACACTTTTAGTTGTCCGAAGCACTTTTCGGTAGTTTAGAACTAATTAGTTCACTTCAGTCCCTGAAGAAGGAAAAGTGCTTCGGACAACTAAAGTGTCGTGTTTTGGCGTTGGAATTTGAGCTATTTTGTTTGTTCCTCATTCAGTAATAATTAATACCTTTGTTTATTAGTTTTTTTACTTTGAAGTGGTGGCAGGAATAGATTTCAAAAATGGAATCTGTATTGTTAATAGTCTTAACTTTTATTTATTTATATTCACTTATTTAAAAAATAACATCAACATAATTTTTTTCCGTTTCGTATAGGTACGTAAAAATTTAACATTTTCATTTAGACTTCTGTATATTTAAATGTCTAAATCCCTATACGTGTATATGCATATATTTTTATTAGCTAACAAAAAAGGTGCAAAATAAATACTGTAGATTCATAAAAAGTGTTATACGTATATAAAAAATAAAATAGGATAAAGAAAAACAAGAAAAAAGAACACCACGTGCCCAAGACGTTCACAACAAGCTTTCGTAATTCGTAAATGTTTGAAAATTTTATTTACAGTCTTCCAATAACTCCACAGCCAACTCTTCCTCCCGCGTTTCCGGTTCTCAGAGATTCATCGTTTCCTCCTTGACCCAAATCGTCTTCTTGCGCGTGAACCACCACTGCCCTTCCAATAATGCTATGCTCCCCTGTTAGACAAAGTGCTTTATCGATTAACGAAATATTAGCGATACCGTTGGCGTCAGCTTCAATATTGCCTAAATCTCCTGCATGGCGAACCGTGGCGTTTGGCGCTCCATGTGTTTGCTAAAATTAATACGATTTTTAATATAAAACTAAAGAACGGGGTAAATATTCTAAAAAAAATGGTCTAAAAGTACCACCAAAGAGCAAAATTGAATTTTACAAAAGCAAAGAAGAAAATTTTCATATATTAATTCAAAACATTAAAACTACATACATGTAACTTACAAATTTATTCTCAGATTAACACGCGTTTTACTTCAGAAATTTCAAATCTTTTCTTGAAGAAGCCACAAAATGGTAAAATATTACGCATTGCTGAGAATAAATTAAATGTGGAAATTGCACACTGTATTATTTTTGATATTATAAATTTCAATCAAGCAGATGTAGTATCAAATCTATTATCAATTTACTCAAAAAATAATACAGTATATAGCAATATATATTTATTTTCAAGACATGCACATTTAATTGAAGGTAGGTACGAATCAAAACCCATTTACAGGATTTTTTCCAAATTTTTGTGTAATGGTGTTTGAAAAAGTTAGAAGGGAGTACATAAAAAAGGGTAATTTTTAAACTTTCTATTAACAATTTTTCTATCGTGTTCATTATAATTATCTTTGAATGTATTAACTAAGGCCTACATTCAGAGATCTTTTCAAATTATTTCTATTTATAATCGACAGTTTAACAATTAAAACGGACGCTTTGAAAAGGACTTTTCACTTCATTAGAATAACTCGAAGTACAATTTTTCGAAAAGTCATTGATTTCTGTTCCAACAACTAATTTTTGCAGATAATCATGAAACCTATTTTCAATAAAAGGTTGCAAAAGACAATTTCTACTTTACATAGCATTAACTTCTCTTAACAATTTATTTACTGAAATATATTTAAATATTAACTTACATTTTGAGGATTAAAATGAGGACCAGCTGAAGTACATCCATTGGACAGATCACCCAATGCGTGTATATGAAAACCGTGTCTTCCTGGGGTTAATCCCGATACTTGTCCTGTTACTTGAACACCATTTTGAGTTTCTGTGAATCGAACTATGCCTGTAGCATTTCCAGTGATCACAACAACAGCTTCTTGCTAGAAAATAAACAAAAACGATTTTAAATGCATAGTTCAAAATACAAGATAAGATTAATCGTTTAGATTAAAAATGTTATTCAGATTCTAAATTTGATAATTATGTTTGTATTTTTTTTTTATTTGAAAACAATTTCCAAAATTATGAGAATTCATTTACCTATACAATGAATACGAAGCACTTCTGAATTCTTTTACAACTTTCTTTGAGAATTACACAAAAATTTTATGAATTTGTACTAGGAAAATTTATACGAAAAATATTTATTATCTACTTGTGTTTTAATCCTTAATAACAATGGCTAATAAAAATCTTCAGAATATTTAATTGCTATATAAAAATCATACGAAAATTATCATCTATATACTTACAGCAGCCGCGGCAGCCCCAATTACAAAGACAATACCCAATAAGTTGAACATTTTGAAGAATTTTTCGAACACAATAAGCACACGTCGTTGCGAATGATCACTTGTTTATACCTGGAATCGAAGTCAAGGAAATAGAAAGTACTTTACAGATTGCTCTGGGCAAATGTAAGCAAGCAAGTCGCTATTTAAATGATCACTTGCTACTATCCTACTCTTTATATTGTCATTATGAGACAGTCTCTCCTGCGGTATTTGCACTCAACCAAAGATGATTAGCTCGTGTAACTCCACCGCGTTTTTACATTATTCTTTTCGAAATTCATTAGTCATTGATACGCTTCAATTCTACCCTTGGCATTGGTTTTGAAAATATTTTTATAGCTTTTTTACTGCAAGTACAAACATCAAATTTATTATTATTGATTATATAACTATTCGCGTAAATATTTAAGTCGCAGAAACATGGAAAGTTTTCGTGTTTTTTTCCAATCTTGCTTAATCTTGTGTAAAAATTTCGATAAGAATTCTAAATCCTTTACGAATATTTTTATTAATTACAGAATAATCAGGTCTGATCAAGGGTGTGAAAAGATGTATTGAAATACATCGACGTTTCGCCTCTGGTTTGATACTTTTTCAAGGTAGATTTTGTCTCAGTGTATCACGTGGTTTTTAGAGTTATTTATTTATTTAGGCTTTTATCTTTACAGATTTTCAATTTGTAATGTTTATTATTTTATCTGTACATGCGTGATTTGTACACCACGTTGGTTTTACATCATTACTTTCTAAACCCACTTTGAAAAAGACTCAATCCAGAGGTGAAACGTCGGTGCAGGTTTTATTTCAATAAATCTTTTCACGCCCTGAATCAGCTCTGATTATTTTCATTAAACCACTAAGGTATACATTTTTATTAATTACTTCTTAATTGAGTAACGCCACTGTGGTGTAATATATTTGATATCCTTTTGGATCTAGTAAAGGATTTTTTATCGGTAATTAATATTCCTTGGCTAATAATAATGTTTAGACATTGATCAATTTTTTTGCATGTGTTTTATTAAAGAAACGTAAGTTTTGTTGTATTTTTCTTCCGCTTCTGGAAAAATATTGTTACCTTCTAGAAAATCAAAAAGAAATATAGGAAATAATGCAAGACATTTAACACAGAATTTTAACCCTTAAACGCACAAAAACGTGTTACTGTTACAGTCTTTGTCACGGTTCCTATATTGACAATAACAATGATTCCAGCAAAATCATGGAAACCTTCTAGTAACAGCAAGAAGTGATTAATATAAATCTTTGAGCAACAACTTAATTATTAACACTCTGCCGTACCTAAAACTTTAAAGAAATATATACTATAAAAACTCATGGAAGATTTTACTAGAAATTTATTAAACAGGCAAAAGAAAATTATTAAAAACTTAAATTAACTTGTTTATTACAATTTGTAAATGTATATAAATTATGTTTAAAGAAAGATAGACCTGCGGAGTTAGGCGTTTAGAAAAGGAGCATATACTGTGTAAACTGAAAATTACAGAATTACTTAAAAGACTTAGCATTTTTTTTCTTTCTTTGGATCTGTTAATAAGTGATGCAAACAACAGTGTATTTTCATTAATTTTTC